TCTACACATTTTGGCACCACAGCCCTAACCATATTTGCATCCGATCCCGATATAGAACCGGAGTTCGACAAAGCTGATATCATCGACACTACGTCCCACCTGGAACATCTAAAATGGCGGGGAAGCTATATCCATCTGCAAGGCTACATGTATAAATCCACATGTATAAATACAATGACCACATGTATAAATCGGAAGGATGAGATTAATCTTTCTATAGCGTGTCAGGCCCTCATAAACAACGATCTATAAATATCAACATCAGCGCACGAATGCGCATGACCGTCCTAATGATCGTTCGTTATACGAGTTTCATATTTTTTGTTTAAACATCGGCGTTCTATTTTTAGATTCGTTTTTTATTTAAATATCTATGTTCCATTTTTCGAAGTGTTCTGTCGGAATTTTTTCTATACCTGAGGAAGAGCTATCTGGGCAGCTTGAAAACGTTTGTGAAAGGAAGATTTTTTCACGCAACATTACACCGGTAACAGGTTCATATTTAGTATTTCATCCCCGGTGTCAGAGTGAAGTTTAATATAATATATTACTTTTTTCTGCCATAATAACTAACTTTTGTCTGTACCCCTAAACAACTTATTGCATACCGCGGGTTGGGAATCGCTGCCATATTTTATAATCTACTTGTGAAAAATCCTCTCAAAAAGTTTAATAATTAAATAAAAATTTATTGATGTAATTATTTGTCTCTAAACTTTATCCTTCTGGAAAATTTTCTGCAGACACCCATGCATGGGACAATGGAGGAATATCATTCATTCTTCTTCTTCTTCTGGTTCCATATTCATTTCTGAATGTAGGACTAGTATTATAACAATCTCAATTGTGCTTCACGTGTTAGTTCTTCTGCTTTCTTATTATTCCATTCACATATATTACCTAACCAACTTTTCCTTCTCCTTCCTGGGCTTTTCTTTCCACAGATTTTTCCCTCTAAAATATTTCTCAAAATTTCATATTTACTTCCTCGGATGATGTGGCCAAAATACCCCGTCTTTCTTCTTTTAACTGTATTTAAAACTTCTTTTTCTTTCCCCATTCTTTCCAAAACTTCCTCATTTGTTATTCTATCTGTCCAAGATATTTTTAAAATTCTTCTATATAACCACATTTCGAATGCTTCAAGTTTGTTTAACGTATTTTTATCTAAGGTCCACGTTTCTACTCCATAAAACAAAACTGACATCACATAGCANTTTAATTTATATTTTGTATTAAATCTATTTTCCCAGTATTATTTTTGCCATGTGTTTAATTTCGATTTAGGATAGTCGTTAAGTAAAAATTTAGTTTCTAACTCCTTTATTTTAATTTTTTGCCATTTATTATCTGATATTCTTGTATATATGTTTTTTAACTCCATGATATAAATATTCTTTTTTATATATTCTGGAACATATGAATAGTAGTTGGTAGTTTTATTAACATTACATGGTTTTTTTTGTATGTTATGAAAGAAAAATTATTAAGTGTATTCATGATTGTTATGTCAAGGTAATTTATCTTATTATTGTTTTCTTTTTCAATATCAAATTGAATATTTTTGTTAAATTTGTTAGTGGTGTTCAGAATAGTATTATCATTTGTTATTCTATTATTGTATATTATTAAGTAGTCGTCCGCATATCTCATTACTAGTTTTATGCCTGGGATATTATTTATTTTTTTATTTATGTTTATCATAGCTAATTCAGCTAATTGCTATTTGATCGTTTACCAAAATTATTGTTTGGATTGCAAAGACGCTACACACAGAACACTTTTTTGGTTTTTTTTTGTTTTTTACCAATTAAACAGAGAATTTTACACAACTGAAATGGTACAGTATATTTCCTTCTTATGAAAACAATTGAAGCTCATATTGAAAGAAGTTTAATTTCCATGTAATAAAATAACAATTTTAACATTTAAAATAAGTCTTCAGTTTGTACATGTTTATAACACAGAAGTGGAAAACAAACAGTTGTATAGCTCTGGAGGTTTAAAATTGGTTTCTGACATGATTTTTGACAGAACAGAACTTGAAAAAAAAAGCAGAATTTATGTTTCTAGAAGATTTTAAACTTATTTTTGACTTTAGAATCTATTCCTAAAAGTATTGATAGAGTATTTCATTACACCCTGTATATACATTGTGTGGATGTGAGATAATTGAGAGGGGGAAGCAGAGGTTACAGCCTCTGTTACAGCCTCTGTTTCCCCCTCTCAATTATTTGGACCAAGATCTATTTGGGGTGTAGCCAAAATGTGTAGAATAAAATTTTAATTAGAGCTTAGAAAATTAATTTATATAATTTCAAATTCATAAAAAGAGTAAAAATAAATGTAATAAATTAATACAGACATCAGAGGAAAGGATAAGATAGTCTGGCAGAGTCCTATTTTCAGGATTTGTGATTGGTGTTCACAGAGTATTTAATATTATAAATATGTTTAATACTTTACAAGTTTAGATACAGAGTTAAAAATACAAAAGCTAAATTGAATTTTGTACTTTTATCAATTGTTACTAAAATGTTTTCAGTTTCAAAAGTCATTTTCACTGAATTTAGAATACATTTCATCAAAATAGTCAGTCAGTGTTGGAATTTGCTTACAAATTCTAAAAAAAATACTCAATTTGCTTTTTTCTCATTTCAAAATAATTTGATATACTGTATTTAAATAAAATAAATTTTTATTTACATTAAAATAGGCTTTGTTAATTGTTTTGTTTTGTTATTTTTCTAGCTCACGTCAACAGCACAATGACCTTTAAAGAAAATGAAGACAAAAATTACAAAACAAAGGTAATCGAAGATGTGGATATTGTTCTGTCTTACATCTTTAGCTGGTACATAAACATAAGTAAGATAGAAACATACCATAAAGAAAAACTTCTGAAAATTTCATCCCATTTGAACAATAACAAGTTGAATTAATTGTATTACAATCCCTTGTATTCTTTGTGTTATTTCTTTACCAATATTTAATTTATTATATTTGAAAAACTAATAAAGTATAATAATTTGATGTGAAAGAAATACTTATAAAACTTTACAAGTAATAACTTATACAGGAAATCCTTGTTAATTTAAACTTGGATTAGTTTGAAATGAAACTTTTGTCCAGACTGGGGATATAGAGATTTAATTTGAAAGTAACTACTTCAAAATTCAAAGTGAAATTCTGTCCAAACTGTGATATCAGTATGTTAACTCATTTATTTAGATCAAAGTGCCTCCATACTATAAGAGAACAATAGACCAAAATCAATTCTAATCTAGTCAATATGTTTTGCTTTTACAGTAACATATTTTTGGGTGTCACCTGGACTACCCTTTTTCTCTTATCTCATAAAATAAGACTAATTTTCAGGATGGCAAGATAGGGCTACAAGTAGCAGATTGAGATATTTATAGGGCTCTAGGCTAACCATATGTGGGCAACTTACTACTTTTTGGGCCACTTTAAAAATAATTTGGGATACATTTTGAGGAATTCTGCTTTACTTTTCATGAAACGTATATCTGGCAACCTGTGAGGTTCTTGCCAGACACTCTGTTTATCTGCAATTAATTTATATTATTATTATTTATTGATTAACAAAAATAGTGGCTACATTCTATACATGTAGCCATATTTCATTTGCATAATAAATTACATCAGTTATGTGGTATTTAGCATATTGTATAGATATACGTAAATCTCAGATAATTCAAAGTCCTGATTATTTCGTCCCTTGAATTTCAAACTAATGAGGATTTCCTGTATTAGAAGAAAGTCTTTTTCATGAAATTACTGAGAAGCAAGTACTGAAATTGTGAAACTGATTCAAATCAAATCTGCACGTCATTCAGTAAAAGATGAACCTTTCTTATTTAGTAAAAGTCTGATGGCTTATAATGGTCAGATAATGTAATAAGATTTTAAGATTTGGTTTTCAATTATAATCAGAAAATAGTAATAATTTTTGTATATTATCTTCTAAGTTGAAAGTTATTTAATAATAATGTAATATTTACGTAAAATTTAAATTAATATAAAATGGATTTCTACATTAGAGTTTAAAAAACGAGGCAAATAAATCAAAATGGTAGAAAATAACACTGTTGTGCATTAAATTGTATATAACAAAACATTAATCAGTCAATAAGTAAAACTATTTTATTGTTTTTTTTTATTCAGTATTTAACAAAGAATGTAAGAAGTTCAAAGTTATTTAATATGACTGTAATTACATTATATTTCTTAGCAATCATGAAACTGACTGCTCATCAAAAAATGAGTTTGAAAAGTTCATCATTTGTTGGACAGACTATATTGGAAATACACAAAAATATTAGAATTTTGTGGGTGTTTTTGAATAAACTTAAGAAACTTCATTAAGTTAATCTCTGGAAAAGATAATTTAATAAAGTTTCTTAGGTTTTTTCAATTAATTATCATTATTAGGATCCAATACAGAAAGAAACTGTAAGATTCTAGTATTACAGTTACAAATCCATGTACACTTGATTCTTCAGTCATCTTTTCTGAAGAACTAATATTATTTAAATTTTTATTAAATTTAAATATCATTATTTAAATTTAATAATTGTTTTTAGTATATTTTTTGCACAGTGAACATACATCAGTGTGCGCAGCATCATTTTAGCTAACGTTTATTAAAAGAATATATGTATAAATGCCTTTGTTTACTAATAACAAATATGCTTTAATATGTTGATACATGTTAGTTGTTTTGTTTAACTAATTAATTTTGCTAATTATAAATAAAGTCTTTTCATCTATGAAATGATCCTTTTTATAAATAAAATACTTTCTTAGTGGAACTAAAATCAATATAAATAAAAACAAAACCTATAATAACCAAATAACTCCAAATGTTTTCTGCCTTCACCAAGGCAATCTTCATTGCCTCAGGCATTTTGGAATTTGTCATTAAAGTTCTGTTAAAGGTTTTTTTTTATTTCTAATTGATCACTCCAGTCATTTGAGAAGGAGCTAGTTATAATAAATATTTTTTTATTATAGCTCAAGCCATTCCTAATGGTGATGCTTTGCAACCTACTGCATACCCTAGTCTTCAGCCTTATCCTGGTATTCGTAAGTAATATTTTTTTAATCAGTACTGTGAATTTTTTAATTCTTTAACGTAAGCAGAACCTGTAAACTAAATATTGTTTTTAATATTCAAAAATATTTGAAAGTTTGAATCAAAGATATTGTTATATTTTTACTTGATATTCACTTTGTAACAATTTAATAAAAGATTTTCATATACAGTAATACCTCGACTTACGTGAATCCAGAGTTACACAATTTTCAAATCTAGTTGATTTGTCTTTTGTTTGAGCGCCATGCAACTCTTGATTACTCACTCCCCCCACACTATTGTTCAGCTTAGATGTTTGGACGTGTCATGTGGAATCGGCACATAGCTACAATTTATTTTGTGTTATTTATTTCTGTGTTTGTTATATCCATGGAACCTTGAGAGACTCTATGTGGTGATTTCTTGTAAATGTGAACGAATCAAAAAAGAGATAAGATTAACAAGAACATTTATTAGCTTACATACATCCGACTTGGATTTTACACAAATTGCAAAATTATACCCCGACTTACACAAATTTGACTTACGTGGTTATCGATCAGTCCCACCTATCGCATAAGTTCGGGGTATTACTGTATTAAATAATTTTAATGTCATTATGAGTATTATATCATTAAAAATTACTTAACTGTTCAAAATTTTTTCCAAATATTTAAATAAATTTTATTGTGCTTGAGGAATGGCTTGTTTTGTTTTTTCATGTTTGCTATTTAAATATATTATCTTTTCTAAAGTATATTTTTATTGAAGATTATTATAAATAAATTTTCTTAATTTTATAGAATTAAAAGCTTGAAATTTTCAATGTACAGGAAGAGTAGTTTGATTATATACATTGTGAAATTTTTTGTAATTTTAAATATGTATGGTGAGCTTTTAAATCATTTTTAAATCAATGAAAATTTGCAGTAAAAAAGAAATTCTTATTAGAATATACTTAGAAGTATTTTAACTTGTATATGAATCTTAAGTCACAGTTTTTCCAGCATCATCTCATTTTTCAAATTTAATCAATTTTCTTAAGAAAATAAATCATCTGGTTTTTTCAGAGTTTAGGCTCATAAATTTGTGCTCTAGATCATGATCTCATGGGCTTAGTGTAAAATGTCTCTGGGAACATATATCTTTATGAAGTACTATTTCAACTTTTATTGTTGTACAGACATTACGTATTGAAATGTTTATTGTATGAAACATTTGTCTAATTAGATAATTTAGAAATTAGATATTTCTGAATTGAAACAACGAAAAACTTTTTCTATAGAGGGGAAAAATGATGATGATACCAAAAGAATAAGATAAAGAAATAGAATATTTATAAGGAGAAAATGTGTCCAATCATTTTAAAGAAATTCTAGTACAGTCTATCCAAATGGAGAAAAATGATAAATCCACTTATTCAGAAAATATTGAATACAAAATAAAAATCAGTATTAAAATCATAAAAATAAATATCAATACTTTTTAAAGAAATTAAAATAGATTTGAAATAAATGGTTTAAAGTTATTCATGAAAATATAGTAAGTCCAAAATATGTTAGATTTAGATTTCAAAGATTCCTTTTATTTTGTAAAAGTAGTTTCAATGATTACATTTGAATATTTAAAATATTTTAATAATGATAAAATCAAATTTTTCTTTCAGAAATTGTAAAAATTTTTTCAATATTTATTCAGATCAACCCTAATGATGAATAGATGAATATATTGGGGATAGGCCAATGGCAATGAGTAAGAAAACTTTCTTGTTGTCAGGTTTTGAGTGGTGGGGGATATGTTCCTTCTGTCCCATATGGATCAATGTCATGCTGTTCACATTAATTACTTTCCTGGCTGCGTTATATATAATAGAGGGAATGTGTAGCGAATGGTCAAAAAATGAGCAACCCAGATTTTTACATTTTTGGACATTTTTGAAACATTGAGAAATACAAAAAAATTTGGGGGTAATTTCTGTATGTGTGGCATGATTTTGTTCACCATCTTTAAAGTTTAATATCTCCTGTGCTTTTTGTCAAAAATTTCAGAAATTTTTGACAAACTATAATCACCACACTTTTTTGCATTATCTTTTTTGGGAATTGCTATAAACGTAGACATTAAAAGATCTTGAGGAATTACACCACTTTCGTAAATAATGTTGTAAAAATCCACTAAAATATCAAGACTATCTTCATCCAGTAATTTCAAAATTTCAGCGGGAACTTCATCTGGTCCGGTAGCTTTACCTTCTTTAGTTGTTCTAATTGCATTCTTTACTTCTACTTTTAGTATTGTTGGTCCTTCTTCTTTATCAATTATTATAGGTTTTAAATTTCTCTCNTAGAATTTACAATTTTTTTATAAAACCCGTTTCTACACTAAAAATTAAGCTTTTTGCCATTATATAATAATTAAACATAAAAAAATTTTAATAATAAAACGTTGTAACAGATGGTGTAACACATGCAGTTTTAAATGTTTCCAGGAAAGTTAAGCAACTCGTTGCTGGATTTTTTTACCAAGTTTAATTGTTTTGAAAAACAAAAAAAGAGTAATCCAAAAATATTTGTATAATCTAATCACAATCATTGGAATAGTTAGATTTAGATTCTATTATAGCATCTCACCTAAAGATTTTTTTATTAATTTACTCAGAAACCTTTAATTCATAATTTATTATTCCACGATGTATCTCATGATTAGTCACCAGAACATTTGTTGAAAATTATATAAATTAGACATGGTCCATAAGGATATTGTCCTATTATCAACCAATATTCAATCTGCTGAACTTTGATATAAAAGACAAGCTCACATTAGCTTGGATGGTTAAATAAATTAAAACCAATGGTAAAAGATCTAAAGTTTAGAGGTAATTTTAACTCATATGTTTGTTACATAAAAGGAAAGCACAAACATAAACTACAGTATTTTCAAAATAAAAAATATGCAAGGATAATGAAATCTGACAATTGGTACACCCAGACTTATGTGGATTAATGGAAATAAATTCAATTGATGATTCTCATTATTTTCTTAGCAAAATTAAATCTATATGACTTTCATATACAGTTGAACTCCATTTATGTTTTTCAGTTGCATGATTTTGCAATTATACATTAAATATTTTCTACACAGTAGTTCTCTCTGTTATAAAACACTTCATTTGTGTTTTTCATTCATACGATTTTACACTTACAAAATTTTTCAGCACTCTACAGCACTTTTTTCTCACTTATGTTATTCACTTTGAAATGGAAAAATTTTAAGTGATTATTAAAAAAACTGAAAAATTACATATTCATTTTAGATTAGTGAATACATACTGACAATGAGTCACCAAGGAATTTAAAAAGCAGACCAGATAACATGTAGCATGTGATGATGCTGTTTCCAGAAAATTTTCCCATTTACAAATCATTTTTCCATTCCAACACATTGAAAATTTTTGCTTTCCACATTTTGTAGTCTGAACCAATTTTACTAAGTGCAAAAGTGAATAAAGGTCACTTTCTGATTTCTCATTCAATTTTGCTGTTTATTGTCAGTGTGAGCTAATCTTTAGAATGATTCTTTGTTCTTTCACATGACTTGTGTTTAGGTGTAAGGAGATAACTGATGTCATGTACAGTATGTGACAAATTTATTGAAAAAATAAGAAAAAAACAAAACTTTATCAATTTTTTAAAAGTTTATGACTTAATTTCATATTGCTTTACTTTTTTTTATATGGTGTTCAAATTTATTACACATACAGTAAATTGAAACTTCTTTATTAAAAATTGTATGTACAAATTTAGTTGTACAGTGTTAATTTGTGCTATAGCATACTTTTGTGATGACTATATTCACTATGAAAGCAATTCAAAAGTAGTTTCACTTGTATGTTTTTCTCACTTACATATTTTTCTCAGTTTCTTTGAAAAATGTATAAAACAGGGTTCAAGAGTACTTGTTGAAAAATAAAAGTGAAATATTTATTTCAAAACATTTAAACATTTAAATTCCTTTGAATGTTTGAGAAGAAATTGGAATGTCAATGGCATTCCAAATTTTCCAATTTGAAGGTTCTAGAAATTTGATGATGGAATAGAGTAGTCCCAAGAAATGTTTAATCTGGTAAAATTTTGGCTTCTTTACTCAGTCTAGTGATTGTATATATTTTTAAACACTTAATCACTCACAGACATCTTCCATACTGGTTTCAGCAGATACATTTATTAGAAAAAATGAATGTTTTTGATCACTTTCAGAGACCTTTGTCAGGTATTATAAATTTCATAATTTTCAAGTAATAGCATTTGATTTATAGGTATGTATAATAACCTGATGAAGGTCTCTGAAAATGATTGAAAACATTTGTTTTTTGCAATAAATGTATCTGCGGGAACCAGTATGGAAGGTGTTTGTGAGTACAGTACAGCGTGATTTATCTGAATCAATTTGGGACTGGGGTTGTTTGGATAACTAATTATGTACAAAAAAATATATTAACCTATCCCATGTTGAAATTTTTCTCCATTGCGTGTCGCTTTGCATTGAATTTTCGTCGATGTTAAGCCTAACATAAATTTTTTAAAATAATGATTGTGGCTATTGTATTGTTAAAAATTATTTCTGTATTTTGCACAAACGAAATAAATATATTGAAAAATATAAAAACAGAAAAATTAAATTTTGGAAGTTAATCTAGTATCAAAAACATTCGATTCAGCACGACACAGTCCGACTGAAACGCTTTCAGTTAACCGATGTTTCGGTTGATCGGCTTTCAAATAAATGACGTTCTACTGTATTTATATTATTAAACTCTCCCATTCAATGAACCTTTATCTCTGGTAATGCTTAAATTTTGGGAACAAACGTTTTTGGCCTCACCCGAGGTCTGCTTCAGGTTAATTGAAAATAGGATTCCAAACTTAGAACGACTTTCCTTGGAACATATGCGTGTGCTATGGAGCATCAGCGACTTCTTGCTCTTTGCATATGTAGCACCAGGTGTATGATA